CGATATCACCCTCCTAGAACCCAGAGCTTTTAAACTTGATTAATTTTCACTTCTTCTGATTGTACGAGCTATCCTATTGATTAAGATGATAACCTAGTCCAAAACAATCGTGCTTCTCAACCACATTCAGGATTTTCCCCCATCCAGGCAAGGCACCTTTCTCAATCGTCTCTTTAACACTCTTAGTAGATTACATGGTCATTTTTGGTAATCTACTTGAATTGACAAAAACAGAGCTGATATCTTCGAATTTAATACATTGCAATGGTACCTCATCTATGCCTTCATCAGTCTCAACATATTGGAAGGATGATAACTCACTTACTAGTAAATCTTCTTCACCACACACGATGACCATTTGATCGTCAAACATGAATTTCAATTTCTGATGTAGTGTGGAAGTAACTGCTCCTACGACATAAATCCAGGGTCGACCCAATAGGAAACTGTATGCAGGATTGATATCCATCACTTGGAAAGTAATGGTAAACAAATGCGGCCCGACTTTAATAAGTAGATCCACTTCGCCAATAACTTGCCTTTGAGAATCGTCGAAAGCTCTGACGATTAAAGCGTTCGGCCTTATTTCTCTCCCTTATACCAGTAGTTGACTCGATGTTTCCTTAGGCATCACATTGAGAGAAGAACCGGTATCCACATGAACACGATATAGCAAAAAGTCCATACAAGTTACTGATATGTGCAAGGCTCTTGTTGCATTGAGAATCAGATATCACGCTATTAATTAACTTGAAACACAAATCATGAAGTTCACCATCGAGCTTTGATTTATCCAAAGGAAATGGTAAAGATAGAAGAAAACCTTAAGTGTGCTATGTAATAATAAAGCTAGAGATCTAAGGTTTGGGGGTTGGTTATAGCTAGGGAAGGTGTTAGCATCCTATGTATCTGTAGTACTCTACAGGAACCTCTTGTTAGTATTTGTGTTATGTTATAGTTTACTTGCTAAGGGAAAAATGCTAAGGTAAAGACCTAGGATATGTACACTAAGTATACTCACCAGGACATCACATCTCATGCCTACGTATCCTAACTAGAATGGAATCAGAGCAATTGTAGTTCACCTCACTAAGGGTGAAGAACATTTGACTATGGTCAAGGTTCGAAGGGGAATAAGTATTCATAAGAATGACACTTATGCAGAGTTAACAAACTCTCTAAATCTAAGTTGAAAGACTTAACTAGGGATTGACTTTAACAAAAGTCAAGGAGGAAGTGAGTACACATGGCAATGGTACACACATAGGGTTAACAAACTCTAAACTTAAATCTAAGTTGCAAGTTCAAATGGTTCTAACAAGACCAAAAGGGATGACTGAGCTATCTATGACGTTGAGTCAATAGAGATACTTTCCTTTGGATTTGGGGAAAAGAAGATAACTTAAGGATGAAGGCTAACAAGCTAACATCACTTGGGGGGAACAACTTAACAAAGTTTAAAGAAAGATAAGATGGAAACAAACATGATATTCAAGCAAGATGTTAATGACATTCAAACATGAAGTCAATTGTAACATGGAAAAATAAATGGTAACAACCAAAACATGAGAATAAGTGTAACTACATCCAAGGCAAACACTTGACAAATTCAAAAGAGAACAAGGTAACAACCAATCATAAAGGAATTTCAAACTCACATGGAGACAACAAAGATGTTACTACATCTAAATATTCATGAAGTAAAGTTATAACAGGATACAAGTTAAATTCAAAGTTGAATAAAGAATGCATTAGGGTTTCAACATGTTTTTAAATAAAATGGGAACTTCACAAAGATTCACACAAACAATCATGTAAAACATGTTTTGAATATCAAACATCACGTGAACAAAACTGAGACATGGAGTGAACAATTAAACATGTCACAAGTTTAAGCATGTCAAGACAAGTAGGTAACAACCAAAACATGTATGTTAGGGTTCAATATGGTCATGAACAAAGATGGAAAAATCACAATAGTTTGAACATACAAACATGTTTTTCAAAAGCATCTAAGACAAAAGTCAAGGTTTCATGAACACTTAAACATGGTAAGATTAATACAAAGGCATATGTACACATCAAAGCCATATAAATATGGAAGGAAGTCACATGTTAGAGGCAAGATGGTCAAGTAAGAACCATGGTATAGTCAAAACTTCAAAGCACATTTATCATGTAAACATACACCTAAAAAAGTGTCAAATTTAAGTTAAAACAAAGGTAAACAAGTTTATAACATCACAAAAGATTCACATGGATTGCAAATGTTTCAAACATGTCCAAATATGCAAAGAAAAACAAAAGAAACAACCAAAGAAATCAAAATAGTCCTTAAGAAACCCTAAAAAATCCCATACTTCAAACATGCATAAGTGCCATAAAAATAAATATTTTGGAAATTTCTTGATACCATAAATAAATAGACAGCAACATGAACACATAGCAAAAAGAATGGGTCAAAAAGCATAAAAAATGAAGAAGGTATGGTGTTTCAAAAATGTGAATAAAATGAAAGAAACAAATCATAAAAAGAAGGGGAAATGGCCCTCATGAAACTTGAACACGCTCCCTCTTGGTCAGGTTAAAACCTTTAACCAATTAAGCCATGTGAATGACTTATCGATAATATGTGTGCATTAAAATTAATAAGAAAATAAGTCATAAATGGTTAAAAGAAAATGAAGCACAAAAAATAAATAAAAAAAGCAAAAGGGTGATCAGCAATGATCAAACCCTAGACAAGGCAAGGCAGTCACAAGGCAAGGCAAAGACAAAGGTTGCTCCACTAAGGTGGCCTGTTTCATCCAACAAATATACGCTTTCAATTCATTATTTTTTAAAACGACATTAAAACGGACAAGTTAGCACCAGATCAGCACCACATCATTTCCACCTCATTTTATCCTTCTTCATCACGCTTACTCTTCTCTCCCCTCCCCCTCTCTCTCTCTCTCTCTCTCTCTCTCTCTCTCTCTCTCTCTCTCTCTCTCTCTCTCTCTCTCTCTCTCTCTCTCTCTCTCTCTCTCTCTCTCTCTCTCTCTCTCTCTCGTGCCCTAACCTCTTCCATTACCAGAATTTCAACTCAAGTATCTCACTCATTTCTTAACCAAATTTAAATTTGTAAAAACCAAATGGTGAGTGAGGTTTGAGGTGTTTCAAAACTTGTTTGATGGTTGGAACAAGGTCCATGGAGTGTTTAGAGAAGGTTTGTGGTGTTTGTTTGTGAGTTGCACCAGTGGAAAGTGTTTGGCCAGAGGTTTTGCAAAACTGGGGTGTTTTTGCAAGTTCTGTTGGAGAGGGCATGTTCTTGTGTTTTTTAGTATGATTGTTGTGTGCTTTGAGGCCTAGAGATGTTCTCTATTTATAGAGAAACTTGAGGGATTTCTTCTGATCAGAATACAAAGTTTATTTCCAAGTCATGAGGATGCTCATATTAATTTCCAAACCGACCAAGTCATGGTGTGACAAACTATCGAGAAACCCCTTTAATCATAGTCTAAGCACTAAGCGGGAAAAGCATCTAGAAGAGGATCAAAATATTTTTAAGTAAAGCTACACGCCAACTCAACCAACTAAAAATCTTATATCAAACATTATCTACAAACTCACAGTCACAAAGAGATGGAAAAGATCTCAATGAAAAATAAACACAACAAACAAGAGAATGTCCTAGAGCACATAAAAATCTCCTCTAAACAAATTTTTTCTAATAAAGATTTGTCTTACAGGAGCTGCCAAAAAAGACAATCATAAATGAAAAAAAATAAGCCTCTCAATCTTTCTAACCACCACTCCTTTTGTCCCGGTTGATATATTGTATGAACAAGAACTCTAAAAGATACTTGCTATCCATCATCAACTAACCTATACATCAACTTTTCATACACTTATAAACAACACCTTTAAAATCAAGTTATAAGCATAGCAATATAAGTTCCCTATAATTCTCTATAAAAAAAATATACTTTTTAAATTTATTAAATAATTAATATACTCAAACTAAATATAAATTAAATATATATTTAAGTTTTCTAATAATAAAGTTTAGAGTAACTATTCTCTATTTTAAAATATTCTAATTTAAAGTTTTTACACAAAGATTAAAAAATGTAATAAATATAATACTATTATTATAAAATATTAAACTTTTACTAAATTAACCATATAAATATATTAAAAGCAATGTACTAGTACTAAGTACTAATTAAAGAACACAACTGAAAAAGTAACCATCATTTTTACATTCTCAAATAAAAATGACATTCATTTTTAAATAACTAAAATTTATTTATTGAAATCACGGTCATTTTAAGAAATGGAGAGTAATTTAATCGATAGTTGTGGTTTCCTAATCCTTATTGTTTGAATGTTTGATAGTTTGTTTTCTAGTGCAAAATTGTTAGTCATTCATGCATATCGGTAACCGCATAGCTTTGACCATTTTCACTACAAATAAATGCATAACATAGACATCTTAACAACATCTACATTAATTAATCCCGTCAAAAAAACATCATCTACATTAATTAATTAATCCAGTGATCTTAAAAGTCATGCAAGTGGTTGACAAAGAAAATGGCCTATGAAAACGTGTAACATAATGTAATGACCGTCACTAAACCACACAAGACGCATCCACGTGGAGTTTAATTAGCTAAAAGTGGAATCTTAACATTATTGATACAACTTGTTGAAACATGAAACTAGTAAGATATAGGTCCACATAATTAAATAAAACAACCAACCCTTACCTTCTCATAATTAATTCCTAACCGTTTCGTCTAAAACAAACCTCCCAAACCACCCTCCATTTTTGTGCCATCTGTTTGTATGCTATAAACATCACTTAACGTTTGTTATAAATAGGTAACAATATTAATGAAGCTATATGTACTTGTTCATTTAAGAAATATATACTACTAGAGATTGTTCTTTTTTCCCTCCCAACGTTATATTCTTGTCTTTCAGAGAGTCAAAGAATAAGGAACCAACCAAGCATGTCAGAAAGTAAGGTAACACTTGATGCAAAACTAACCGTTGTATCAAGCAGGCCTGTGAGATCGGGTATGATCCATAAGTTATCGGGTGTGGACCATGGTATGGGTTATCATACTTTGCATTTGATATTTTACTACAAGAACGAAGATAAGTGGTTTGAGTCATTTGAATTGGATTCGTTGAGGGGATCTTTGTCGGAGGTTTTGTCGTTGTACCCGACAGTAACGGGACGGTTGGCCCTAGTGGAGGAAGATGGTGGTGGCTGGGAGATTAGGTGTAATGATACAGGTGTTCGGGTCATAAAGGCTAATGTCGATAGTACTATCGAAAAATGGCTGTCGTCATCTGCGGTTGGCTCGGATGAGAAGCAGCTTCTCGCTTGGGATGATATGCCTCTTGATACGAGTACATGGTCTCCTTTCCAAATTCAGGTACTGTCCATCATTTTATCACTTAACACAACACGATTCGTTTATTTTGATAGCTACAGTTAAGTCATCTCAATTGATAGTTGTAGAGAAACATCTGATTTTGATTGTAACAGCGTGGATTACTCGTGATGATGATGTATGTTGTATGTTGTATTGCAGATAAATAGCTTCAAAGAAGGTGGAATTGCGATTGGAGTTAGTTGCACTCACATGATAGCTGATCTAACTTTCTTATCATCTTTCTTCAAATCATGGTCACAAATTTACCGTCTGACTCCCATTTCTCACCCTCCTTTTATCACTCCAATTCCAATCACTTCTTCACCAAACAACAATAATACGAGTCCGAATTCGGGGCCAAAACCACAAACAAACATAACCTCGGCCACTTTCAAATTCTCAAGTTCAATCATAAAACACTTGACCTCAAAATGTCCCGGTGCCACTGCCTTTGATGTCCTCGCAGCTTTGTTTTGGACTCGTGTTACTCTTTTGAAGCCTTTGAAATTGCATAAACAAAATCACTCTTTATTAATCTGCAGAGACTTCAGAAAGCTTATCAAACCGAATCTTCCGGTTGGTTATTTCGGAAACGCTTTACATTTTTCGAAATTTTCACTAAATTCTGAAGAAATGAAGAATGGAACAAAATTACAAGACATAGCAAGTTTAATACACATGCACACCAAAGATGTTACTGAGAAAGAAATTATGTCATATATCGAATCGTTTGAGTCGCAAGAGGGATCGACGCTGAAATGTGTGTATGGTTCTTCTGAGTTAACATGTGTTAACATGGAAGAGGAAGAGACAGAGTCTTTGTTGTATGAATCAATATTCGGAGATAATGAAAAACCAGCTCATGTATCGTGTCGTGTTGGGAATGTTGGTGGCGAAGGTTTGATAATGGTGATGCCTTCTTCAGAAGGAGAGTTTGCAAGAAATGTGATAGTAATGTTGAAGGAGGAAGAAGTTGATAAACTATGCAAGGATGAAGAAATGTTGAAGCTTCAACCAACTATTATACTTTCTGGTTGAAATAATCATCACAAAAAGTTCACCATTAAGAATGACAACTTCTTTTATCCATCACAAAAAATTAGGTAGTATCTTTTAACCAATCACATTACAAATGCTTAAAAATTATTACTAAAATGTTGTGTTGGGAATGAATTAAAAATTATTCACGTAAAGTTTTTTTCTTCCATGTTGGTCACTCTCTCACATGGTTTCATGTTACTCTCGTTAAGTGTGTGTTAGGCTTTATAAACACTAATTTTATTTCTACCTAAATTAATATGGGACTTTATTGACCACTCAATAAACACCATTGTTTATTTTTTCTTGCAATCATATTTTGTTTTTGTTAAGCATCAAATATCCCAACTTGTGATTATTTTTTCCTGCAACCATAACTATTAGATAGGGAACTTTAAAGATAAACAAAACCAACAAACAACAATTCATTGCAACTACACATGAAACCTTATGATTTAGTAAGAATAATTATTTTTCCACTGCAGTCATTCTTTTGTAGCCATTCAAGAATAATTAATTTTCCATTGCAGCCATTCTTTTGCAACTACACATGAAAACAAGACCAAATACTAGCAATTTCTAAGAGCATCGTTGTTCTTAATTATTTTTCCAAAAGAAGATCTATAATGATACTCCAGGTATGTGCGAATGTGAAGGCATGTGCATTATAGTTGTTGTTGCAGCTATGGATAAACGAGCAGAATTGAATGTAGATGAAACAACAAGATAGTTTGATGCATAATCTCATACTGTTTTTCTTATATGATAAAACCCAAGGTAATTTGTGATGGGAATATCATTGATCAAAATGTAAGCGGAAATATTCATGGATATTATATGAGATTAAAACATCAATACTTACTTGTTGAAGTTATGATTCGGAATTCCGAATGGATGAATGACCGGATCTTCCTCTCTATCTCACACTCCCTTTCACAACTTTCAATGGGGCAAGTTATGGAGCCGTCAGTTATGTTTCTGATGTTTTTTGTGATTACAGATGGGACCTAGCCACATAATATATATAAGGAAGTTTTACCCCATACCCCTACACTTATACCTATACTCCTACATTAAAAAAATTTGGACCAAAATATCCTCGTATAAAAATTTATTATTTTTTAATTTTTTTTATATTTTTTTATTTGTTTAACGGAAGACTTTTTGGAAGTCTTCCGGTTCACATTTTTTTAGTACCGGTACATATTTTTTTCGTTTGTTTACCGGAAGACTTTTTGGAAGTCTTCCAGTTCATGTTTTTTTTTTAATTTGTAATTAATATTTAAGATTTATTAATTTTATATAAAGACCAATTTAGTAAATTTTTGAATATTATACTTAAAATATAAAAATTCTATAAATAGAGAATCATTTTCAGAATATTTTCTATTTACTATAATTATTAGAATACTAGGATTAAAATCATTTATTTTAAATGATCATAATAGTAGAATTTTCTCAAATATCTTATTAATCTTAAACATTAATAAATAAATTAAATAGAAAATATAAGATATAAGTTTACATTATTCAATATATTTAGTCAAATGAAAACATATGTGATAAATAAATAATGTATTTTAACTTAAAATGATCACAATAAGTTAACTTGCAAAATAATATAAGTAATAAATTAATAATGTATTTTATTTAAAATAATCACAATAATAAAATACGCAAATAATGTGTTTTATTTATAGGACTGATATAGTTTTATTGATTATTTAATTTTGAATACTACTATGAATATAGTATTTAATCTATACTTTAGAACTCACATAATTATAAATATAAAAAATATTGTTTTATTACCCATATTTTTATTTAATTAAAAAAAATAAGAATATAAATTTATTATTTGTTTTTCATTTTTGTTTGATCTTTTTAATTATTTCACTTTATTTAATATTTTTAATAAAATAAATAATATATTTTTTTTAAAGTAAGCACAATATAGAATATGCAAAAAATTTATAAATAAAAAAAAGATCAAACGAAAATATAGTAAATAGAAAATATTCTATTTATAGTAAATTGGTCCTAGTATTCTAATAATTATAGTAATTATAGTAATTTTCGTTTTATTTATAGGACTGATATAGTTTTATTAATTATTTAATTTTGAATACTACTATGAATATAGTATTTAATCTATACTTTAGAACTCACATAATTATAAATATAAAAAATATTGTTTTATTACCCATATTTTTATTTAATTAAAAAAATAAGAATATAAATTTATTATTTGTTTTTCATTTTTGTTTGATCTTTTTAATTATTTCACTTTATTTAATATTTTTAATAAAATAAATTATATTTTTTTTTTAAAGTAAGCACAATATAGAATATGCAAAAAATTTATAAATAAAAAAAAGATCAAACGAAAATATAGTAAATAGAAAATATTCTATTTATAGTAAATTGGTCCTAGTATTCTAATAATTATAGTAATTATAGTAATTTTCGTTTTATTTATAGGACTTATATAGTTTTATTAATTATTTAATTTTGAATACTACTATGAATATAGTATTTAATCTATACTTTAGAATTCACATAATTATAAATATAAAAAATATTGTTTTATTACCCATATTTTTATTTAATTAAAAAAATAAAAATAAAAATTTATTATTTGTTTTTCATTTTTGTTTGATCTTTTTAATTATTTTCGTTTTATTTATATTCTTATTTTTTTTAATTAAATAAAAATATAGGTAATAAAACAATATTTTTTATATTTATAATTATGTGAGTTCTAAAGTATAGATTAAATATTATATTCATAGTAGTATTCAAAATTAAATAATCAATAAAACTATATCAGTTCTATAAATAAAACACATTATTTGCGTATTTTATTATTGTGATTATTTTAAATAAAATACATTATTAATTTATTACTTATATTATTTTGCGAGTTAACTTATTGTGATCATTTTAAGTTAAAATACATTATTTATTTATCACATATGTTTTCATTTGATTAAATATATTGAATAATGTAAACTTATATCTTATATTTAAATTTATTTTATTTATTAATGTTTAAGATTAATAAGATATTTGAAAAAATTCTACTATTATGATCATTTAAAATAAATGATTTTAATTCTAGTATTCTAATAATTATAGTAAATAGAAAATATTCTTAAAATGATTCTCTATTTATAGAATTTTTATATTTTAAGTATAATATTCAAAAATTTACTAAATTGTTCTTTATATAAAATTAATAAATCTTAAATATTAATTACAAATTAAAAAAAAAAACATGAACCGGAAGACTTCCAAAAAGTCTTCCGGTAAACAAACTAAAAAAATATGTACCGGAAGACTTCCAAAAAGTTTTCCGGTAAACATACTAAAAAAAATGTGAACCGGAAGACTTCCAAAAAGTCTTCCGGTAAATATAAAAAATATATAAAAAAAAATTAAAAAATAATAAATTTTTATACGAGGATATTTTGGTCCAAAATTTTTTAATGTAGGGGTATAGGTATAAGTGTAGGGGTATGGGGTAAAACTTCCTATATATAACCCTAGTCCCTACCCATTATGGGCCCAATGTTAAAGCCCACACTTTTACCCACACCAATCAGGTTTCAGATACTCAGCCATTAGATAAAATTGATCACTTAATTAATTAAAGGGCTTATATATGCAGCCCCATCAGAATCACGATTAACCCGTTTTTCACAAACTAAACCACAATTGATTGTAGTCCATAAAAAGTTAGATAAATCTAACATTCTCCCACTTGGACAAAATCAATTGTATTATTTTTATTTAAAATACATTTTGAAAACGACTCTCGGGTTAATGACTAATTCCTTAAAATGCGGTCGCATTTTAAAGAAATCCATGATTCCAAGTGCAGTATCTGAATATGACTCCATCCAACAAAAGTTAAGCAGTAATGAATCACGACGATTATTATGTCCTTCATTGACATAAAACCTTTCGTGGTTACAAATACTACATACTCCGTCAACTAGTCATCAGTGTGGAGTGTGGCAAGAAAATAACATGCTAACGTGATCCAACAACCATTTGCTATTTTCTTCGTCAGTCCTTAACAATTTCTCTCCAATGCATTAAACACAAAGAAATTGTATGGTTTTACAAACCATAATGCCTCAGCTCCAATATGGCGTCGACCACCGGCACAGTGGTCCTGACAACGCCGAGGTTAAAATCATACTTCAGCTCCAATATGGCATCAACCACCGGTATAGTGGTCCCGAAGACACCGAGCTCAAAATAATAACCATGCCTTGAACTGCAAACTAGTGTCGACCATAGGCACAATGGTTTCGATGACACTGAGTCCCAAATTTAGAAATTTAAATGTAAATAAACAATGACAAATGATAATAATAATAATAATAATCATTGTAATATCAATTGCTTAAAATAGAAAATACTCGACAATTCAACATTTAAAGTGTCTAAAATAAAATATAACATGATAAAAGAAAATGACATAAAGAACAAACTCCCACTAACCAAGTACATCAAAAGAACTCACAATGCCCATGTTCTCAACATGGTTTTTGAACACGATGGGTCTAAGTCCCTTAGTTAGGGTATAGCATGAAATCAGTACCAATGTACTCAACAACAATGTCATTTTTCTTTACAAGATCTCTGACTGTCAAATACTTCAATTCCAAATGCTTAGAACCGCTAGAAGTTTTATTATTCTTGGAGTAGAACACAGCTGAACTATTATCACAGTAAAGCTTTAGTGGCTTTGCAATGGAATCAACAATACGAAGTCTAGTTACTAAATTTCTTAACCAAACAGCATGAGTGGCAGCAGCATAACAAGCAACAAACTTTGCCTGCATAGTAGAAGAGGTGACAAGAGTTTGCTTTTTACTCTTCCATGATATCGCGCCTCCAGCCAACATAAAAATGTAACCAGAAGTAGATTTTCTATCATCAACACACCCAGCAAGATCAGAGTCAGTATACCCAACTATTTCTAAGTT